GGAGGTCATCTCTAGTAGGTTGGAGGCCATCGCTACCAGGTTGGAGGCCGTTCCTATGAGGTTTGGGTCATCTCTAGTAGGTTGGAGGCCATTACAATTAGGTTGTTTTCGGGTCGCTGGGGGATCACAGAGCTCTCGCTTCGACGGTTGGGGTTGGTGCGGATGCAGAGGCTGGTGCGGATGCAGAGGATGACCAAGATCGTCCGCATGTTGAGACTGGTGTGGCTTGGCGACGAGACGACGATGGTCGTCCCATCCGTCGGCTTTGACGACGGCTGGTCGGCGCCGTGACATTCCCGGCGGTCGGCGCTTTCCAAGGAAACTGACCCAGTTGACAGAGCGGCTCAACCTGGACACATACATCCAGAGATACAAGGTCGCACCCGGTCACAGACGGCTGAACTGGAATTCCTTTCGGTACCATTTGACAATTTGTTTGTGGCCTGTTGTGGGGTTTGGCTGAGCTGACTGACAGCTTGCAAGCAAGGTTGTTGCTGTCTTGAACACTCTCTTCGGACTTGTTTGGGCAGTACATGTGATGGCGACTTGGCTGCTGAATGCTGCTGATCTGGCTGCACTGGCGAAGTGGCACACAAGTGCCCCCACAATTCACGGGGACGCACCAAGCTGAGCCAAGCCTGAGCAGACCTCGGAAACTGTTGGAACGTGCTGTGGCAGCTGGAAGGGCATCGGGTTTTGCATAGTTTCATCCTTTACCATTGACCATTGGAGTTTAGGAGGCCACCGATTGCAGACTCACGGCAAAGTGAACCGCACAGCACCACATGAGGCCTGTGGCTGGTATCTTTGTGCAGCTCTTCATGCGGATCCGCTCGAAACCTGGTTAGCCCGTCGTCATGTTGGCGTCGACCAGGACCGACGGCGTGAACATGTTGCCCCACCGCTGACAGCCACTCCAGCAACTGTTGCCAATGTTGACTCCAACCTTGCACCCTGAACTCTAGGGTGAACGGCCTGGAATGTCTCCGGCAGAACAAATGACAATGCTGCAGGAGATGCTGCTGAACTTTCCACCCCTCGACCAATGGGCTCATTCCATGTACTTTGTCTTTGCAGCGCCCCAGCTTCAATAGATCTCTGACTCAACCACCTTTCAGCGTTGAGAGAGCGGCTTTGTTTGCCACGTTGCGTGGCAGGTCTTCACCACAGTTGGCTTTGGCAGCTTGGCTCGGTTGAGTTTGTCGAGATCCCCCCTCCAGCTCCAGATGCTAGACAATTGACTATTGTATTGTCCATTCCTCCTGTAGGCCTGGATTTCCAACTCTCCGCTAATATACATATATGTTATATGTGTATATATATATATAACTTAAAATGGTCACTGGTCATAGTCATGTTCCCTTTCTGTTGCAATCCGCAGCCTAGCATCATAAAGGAGATTCCCCGAGGCCCATTTGCCCATTGTTGGCAACTCATGAGCTCGCTCTGGCATCATTCCGACATCATTCCGCAGGTGACATCTCTGCCTTCACCACCGGTGAGATCATTTATTGCACTCTGACCATGATGGTGGGTGCCATCGTCCACAGTTTGATTGTTGGCCAAGTCATTAGCGAGGTCACGAGTGACAACACCGTGCCCCGTTCAGCAAACAGCGGGGTTCAGCTGGGCGCTGGTTGGCCGAAGAGGATGAGTTGAAATGGATTAGTCGGGTCGGTGGTTGGATGATGGGCCGTGGGTGTTTGGTTGGTGTTTTGATGAGATGACAGCGGAGCAACCGCGTGCACGAGAATGATGTGCAATCGCTCGCTATGTGGTGCCGTTCCTCGTCGTGCTGGAACAGAATGCTCTCATTCTCACCTTGGATGCTTCTATGACTCTATGCCCAACAGTTTTGGGATGAACGACGTGAAAAACCTCTATACAGTATACATGGATATTGCTACCAACGCCAGTTCACGAAACAATCGCGAAGGCTTCTAACCACGCGTAGTAGCTGTGGTGGCTCTCCTAAAGCAGCAGTAGAGTCGAAGAGCGCATTTTGTTGCAGCTATGCAGACACAGCACCGCTGCCCAGGTGAATGCGTTTCTCAAGAACAAGCTGAAGCTAGCCAAAGAGTTTGCAGCTCACGCGAATCTAGATGCAGCCGGGTCAAAAGCGTTGCTTCGATGCAGTTGTGAGTATTTGACCAAGGCCCGCATGTCTGGCTCTGACCATCACACAAGTAGCAAAGTGAGCTGGACTTGACTAGTCTAGCTCGAATGGAAGCGGAATATTAGCGGATCACCATGCCAAGCGTTCACACTTTCCCTGACACTGCCCATTCGCACCTGCACCTCCTGGCACAAGCTTTCCTTTCAATGCAAACTGTGAAGAATCCACTGAGAAGCCAGTCATGAAGGCCACTGGTTGGACATGTGTCGTGCGTGCCTGTGAGGCTATCCTTGTGGCTGGAGACAAACGCCCGAGATTTGATGACGGAGCAATTTAAACTGGATGAGATGCACCAGCTGGTTGCGAATGATATGCCCTTATCCTTGATGACGCTTGGCATTGGTAGTGAATAATGAAAACATGTCTTTGCCAGGATGCCTTTTGAACCAAGGGTCGGATGGTTCCTGGGGTCGAACAAATCACGTTATTGGTTGAAGATAGCTCACTTCAGGTTGACTCCCTACTGGAGTTGAACATCGGGTTGGACGAAGCACGTTTCAATCGGGATTGCGGACGTCTTGTTCCGTTCTTTTTTGGAAACCCTTGCCCTGACTGCCTGCGTGTAGCTATGGAAGGGCCCCCTTGCAGTAGCAAACTGGTCTACCACGGGTGTTATTCCATTTGTCATTGCTGAGCTTGTGCCTCAATTTCAGACTTGAGCTCGTACTTGATGTTTCGACAGGAAGGAGCTCCATGGCCGTCTCTTCAAGGGGCAGCTGGTACGGAATGGGTCTCTCAGCTGAAGTGGGTGATGATCGGAGGTTTGCTACTGCTGATGACGACTGCCGCAGCCGCCGCCGACGACGACGACGACTTCTTCTCCTGCTCCTGCTCCTGCTCCTGCTCCTGCTCCTGCTCCTGCTGGTGCTGCTGGTGCTGCTGCTGCTGCTGCTGCTGGTGCTGGTGCTGGTGCTGGTGCTGGTGCTGGTGCTGCTGCTGCTATGATGGTGATGGTGATGGTGATGGTGATGGTGGTCGTGGTGGTGATAATGATGATCATGATGATCATGATCATGATGATGCGGAGGAGGAGCAGGAGGAGGAGGAGGAGGGCCCCGAGTGCCCAAACCCCATCAGCCCCTCTGCGCCGCGGGGCTGGTGCGCAGCTCCCTTGCTCATGGTCATCCTGGAATATCCCGGACTTCTTGACCGCCTCGGTCCTGCACTCCATCCAGTACCGGCACTTGGCCCACCTACGTCCAACACTCAGTGACGGACGTCAGGCTGAGGTCTTCGATCGCCCGGGGCTTGACTCATTTCTTCTTTGTCCTTGTGTGCCTTAATCTTTTTGCTGTTTGCCTATCACCTCCACTATGCTTCTTTGACCCCACAAAGACGCCGAGAGCTCGGAGTGAAGCACCCTCCAATCGGGACACCGCCCAAAAAGAAAGCACTCTTGATAACCCTAAAACAGGCCACTTTGCATGGCCACAGTTGGTATTGAGGGAAGTTGGTTACAGATCAACTGGGCGTCTCCTTACTTAAGCGTGCACCTGGGCTCACGAGCCACCTAGACGGGTGGCCCTTTGTGATTGGGATTGTCCCTAGCCAGAAGACCTGTACACCTGGATCACAATGTGAAAGATCATACACCTTTTCTCTTCAATGTCCTCCACAAGTCAAGAGCATGGCAATGCTCCAGGCCGGGTCAGGGTCAAGAGCAAACGCAGCCAATCCACTGTGGCATCATCAGCGCTGTACTTTTGGGTGTGTTTTTAGCTCTGGTTTTCAATCACGGATCCAAATTGGAGGAGACGGCGCTGCGCGTTCTATGACGATGATGGACATGCCCACTTTGAGTTTCAAAGCCACATGGAACTCTCTCAAGATCTTCAACACTTTGGCAAACTCATCGCTATTTTGGAGCAACTGTGCATGTCCGTCAACTTGCTAAAGCTGGCTGCCATGGGCCCATGAAACCAACTTAACAGGATCCACCTTCCCCATTTCAGGTCCAGACTTTGCTCTCTTTGAGATTCCTAGCCGGACCTCGCAAGACTATCTTCCAGTTCAGATGCAATATTGACAGTCGCAACGAGCACCATGCATAAAAGATTGAAGTCTCGCATGCTTGGGTTCAATCAAGTGCGGCGGTGGTTCAAGCGGAGCCCTCTTCATGCCGAACAGAAGAAAGAACTTTGGCAACCATGTGCGGTCCCAATGCGCTTCATTGTCTTGATGCTGCTGGAGTTGACAACACCTGCTCACCATTCATTTTCCACACGCACGCAAGGCACAATGCCTTCCATAGAGTCTATAGAGCGTCAGTGGGAACGTCCATTAATCCAATTGATAGACCGCCGGACGGCGCATATTTCGTGGCACGGGGGAAGCGTTTCACCGCTTGTCAGCGATGATATCCTTCACACTATTGAATATCTGGCCCAATCAATCCTCACTGCACCTCTTGCAAGTTTGGATGCAGGACCTGGCAAGATCTGATGTGGTTGACTGGCGGGGGTAGATCTTGACTGGACTCACGTTTGGACATCTCTATACAATTCGGATGGCGTGAGCTTGCGCTCTTCCAGTCTTTCATCCTCTTGGACCTCAACCTCTGAAAGCTAGAGATGCAGTTGATGGTAAGCCCATGTGTTGTCATTGTGGCGAGTCCCTCACGTCCGAATTTCAGCCGTCTCATTAGAACCTACTACTCATGTCCAAGTTTTTGCTCATCCATCATCCAACGCATCTCCTGAGACTCTGCTCTGGAGCCGGCGGAGACTTTTCGAGATCTTTGACCGTCCAAGCGCTTCAACAAGAGCGACCACTTTGTGATCTTTGTGGTTTGTTTGCTCAGTGGCGAGACCATCCGCAAGCTTATGGCCACATGGGTCAGATCGCTCTTGGGGACAGATGACGCTGATGCTTTCATCCTGAACATTCAGAACCTGCTGCACTTCCTCCTCAACCGATGGGGGCTCAAGTCAAGTGCCACACTTGCCGCAAGAAATGTGCTGCGTTTGGTGGAGTACAGATTTGTCCTGGTCGCATCTGCGGAGTGTGGGCGTCAGAGCCGTTTTCCGTGTCGTTGGCAAGAGCATGGATCATCGTGGAGCCCTGTGCCAGCATGAGGTCTCCAAATTCAGAAACCTTCTGGACACAAAATGTTGGAGGCTATATGGCTCAGAAACATGAATGATTCAGTGAAGATGAGACAGCCTGGGGGGGGCATTTTTGCTCACAGTCAATGGACCGTCCTTGGTTTGGATTGGCCGCAGCCTTTTCGACGAGATGATGTCGCCGACTTTGTTCACCATCATCCCTGCGGGGGATTCAGGCCAAGACCGGGTTGACTTTCAAGGGGTCTTGACTTCGTGGAGCGTTCGGACTGCGTGCCTTGCTTGACCTCACCTGCCTCCAAATTGCAAGAGCCGGGCACGACTTGAGTGGGCTTCCATATTTATACTCAGGTCACTGCGCTGCCATCCTCGCCGGCAACTGCTGGTGGATCTATGATGATGCAGGACCTTCAGCGCTTTAGGTGGCTTTCTGAGGTGGGCAACACGGTGTGCATCCCAGCCATGCCATAGGCTGGCCACCGGAGTTGCCCGTGTTTCAGGCAATATGCAACCTTCATTGCGAAACAAAAATGTGATGATTGATGATGATGGTGATGGTGGTGATGATGATGTGATGATGATGGTGATGGTGGTGATGATGGTGATGATGATGGTGATGATGGTCGTTATGTTGATGTGATGATGGTGGTGGTGGTGGTGATGATGGTGATGATTATGATTATGATTGGTGACGGTTAGTGATTAATGATGGACTCGTTTTGCAATGGCAGTTTAGCTGCTTGGTGCTTTGGCCACTAGAATGACCAAGATCCAAGGTTTCTACGGGTGCCCTTTGTGGTGACTACCCCGCCACGATTGCAGTTGCTCTTGTCACTGGCGTTGACGCCTAAGTTCTACGAGAATGGCCACCTTTTGTACCACGCAGGCTCTTGTGCGTTTTTAATGATGGCTGCTGGTCGAGTGTGGCAATCTTGGGTTTGCAGGTGTTGGGCAAAAACGGCAGCCACCACTCTTGGCACAAACGCGCGTTGCAGCAAATTTGAAACCCAAGTTTGACTTCACAAGACGCATCAGGTTTGTTTTCACATGTTTGGTTTGCACCAGGCGATTCTGCCTTCCACATGTTCCTAGTCCTCAGTGGCACCTTTGCGTTTGTGGCTAGACCAGAGCGACCGAGCAAGAGCCCTCGTGCGAACGTGCTCAGGCAGCAGGTTCAGAGCCAATGTAAAACTTGCCACCCCAAGAGAGCCAACCAAGTGTCCCCCAAGCATGCTCAGACAAATTATGATACTAGCTTTGGGGCTTGCTGCACTCCCTCGGGTAGGTAATCTCACAAGCCCTGAAGGGCCACCGCAACAACTGACATGCTGTTCGTATTTCGCTCCCACTGAGGAGATGTGGCCGTATCAGCTCTTCTCTCACAACAGCTTCGTGTCCTGCATTTATACACCAAACTAAAGAAATAGGCTTTGCACCAATCATCAGCAACCATGCTTTTCAATAAAGTTGAGACATGCAGCAGCTTTGAGGCTATTTCGGAAACTTCGAACTGCATGGTGGGGTGAAACAGCTGCTGGGCAAAAAATGTTTCGATCTCCGCAGCACGCCAAAACAAGAGAGCTGGCACAACATGAAAACACAAGGAACTTCTTTAGGCTCTCCATGACTCGACGTCTTCTATAGTCACTTTGTGGGCGTGGTTTGGCCTCTGGTAAGAGACTGCCTCTTACCTATAGTTTTAAAGGGAATCGAGAGATCCCATACTCAGTATGACCTCCTTGGAAGGGTGCGAAGGAACCTTGGGGCAGAGCCAATCTCCAGCTTGCCCAGAAGCTGCTCCAGGCGATGATCTGGAGTTGAACCATGTTAAACGTACTGAGGTTATGTCAGCTCCTTGCCTCTTGAAAGGTCGGTAGGCCCGCTGTCGCCTCGAGGTTCCGTCGCTGCAACGCGCGCTGCGAGTCGGAGAAGGGCCAGGCGCTGCGGCTGCCGCGCGAGCACTACAGCCGCCTGTGTGGGGAGTTCCCACAGCTTCATGGCAAATGCGACCTGTAGGTCTTGGTCAAAATGTGTAGGGACATGGGGTGTAGGAGTGGTGTCGAACACTTCCAAGCATGCAGCTGCTCCATCAAATTACTGTGGGCTGAATTCTCTTGGTAGGTCTGCTTCTTCTTGGGGGAACTTGTTCCCCAATGTTTGCTGCCCCTTCAAATTGCTGCAGGATTTGAAGAGGAAGATGGCACAACAGTCGTGCTTTCAGGCAAGTAGATAGAGACCCCCTTGTTTTGGTCATGCCACCTGCCCACATTCTGGGTGGCGTCGAGTCAAGGTTTTGCGCAGCCTGGTATTCAGAATGCTTGCGGCGGGAAGCACTACGGTGCCGCTTGCTAGAGATGCACACCAAGATGCTGAATTACCGTGCCCTTGGTGGCATGGGATGACCCCTCTCATATGGCCAATTCACAAAAGGCATGGGTTCTTCCACGGGCACAAGACTGCTGAATACGAAAACCACGGCACCTTTTTGCAATTACTGCGAGGGTGGCTTACCCACAAGCCTTTGGGCAATGCAGCGCAGCAACATCTACAACCAAACACCCAGTTTGCTTCTGATTGATGGAGGGTTTTTGTTTCTCGGTTGCTTGAACTACAGCTCATGAAGCAACAAGTCAGTTTGTAGCTCCATATTTGATCAACTTCACATTCTCGGAGGTGTGTTGGCTGCGCGGCGGCTGCAGAGATATTTCAGAAGTGTGAAGGAGATGCCCCGCAGCTGGGGGGTTGGGCAGTTTCGCTTGGCACTCGCCCTCGTGCAGGAGTTGCACAATCCAGTGTGGAGTGAAAGTCACCTTAGGAAGCACAACCCTCAGGTTCTAAGATTAGAAGAAAGGATCCCAACATTCATGTGAGCACAGGCTGCGAGCACGGGCCAGGCTGACTGGGATCAGCGCAAGAACCAGGATGATGACTCGACAGGGCTTCCCTCTGAGATCAGCAGCTTGCTCCGAGAAATCTAGATGGGTTGCGACCCGGTGGCTCAAGCATAGGCCTGAACTGTTGTGCATTCCAAGCCCTCAAGTGCTTGCACAATGCCAAGCCCGTGCTTACCTGATTTGACAGGGCACCGGAAAAGGGAGTGAACCTTGTGACCTCCAATCTAGAGCCAAGGACGGCATTCGTGGCACTCTTCCTCCGGCGAGATGAGTGCATCAGTGGGCACACTATCTGTGGATTCGATGCTTGATCAGCCTCATGACTGCAAGAGTGAGGAGGAAAGTATCTAAGGGCCACACAAGGGGCCAACATACAATCTCCGGTACCTGATCCTACCATTGCTGTGGAGGCTGTTGCCATTGATTGAGCCAGGAGTTCTTTTAGTTTGCTCTTGCTGAAGGAGCCGTGGCCTTGAGTGGAAGTCGTCCGTCACACGCAGAGCTAGCTTCAAGCAAAAGTGCGAAGAGGACGGGTCGGACGGGTTGGCTGCTGGAGTCTTAGATTGTTAGAATATGTTGATGAAGAACAGAGGTCCGCTAGAATTTGAGGGACTCAGTTGATGAAGAACGACTCTGATGGGCCTGAACAGGACCCGCTGGCACGACAGCAGCAGCTTCTTGTGCCCCAGCTGCAGGGAGACCCTCAAGCTTGGGCCACGATGGCTTCCGAGTCCCATCAAGAAGCATTGGTTTTTGCAACCTGAGATGAATTACATCACATTGATTGCTCGCACGATCACGCGAGGGCCATGTCCCGTGCAGTGTAAACAGGAGGCAATTCTTTGCAAGTGTAAAGAGCGAGCAGTTAAGACGGCCACACCGACAAAATGGGCATGGTGATCCCAATGAGGACCATGTGTCAGCGCTTCAAGCCACTGCTGAAAAGCAGGCCCAGCGGCCTTGGGCTGGTGGAAGTGTTGGTGTGAAAATCCTGGAAGTGCAGGTTTGAACAGTCCCATCCCCTCAGGATATGCAGTTTTCCATCAATTTCCAGTCTTCCTGGAGTCCGGGATTTTTGTGGACATTGGTGTGCAATTCTGCTCGGAAACCGCTGGAGTCAGAGCCCAGGGTGGCCTGGCCCACCCCATGAGAGTATAGCAAAAAGGCGTCAATACTTCGGCTCGGGGTTCTTGATCTAAAGACTCACCATTTCATTGCTGCCATTGCCTCTCAGCGGCCTCTCACTGTTCCAAACAGTAGCTAATTGGTATCATTGTCTTTGCGACTGCTGTTTGCTCTATGTCATGATGCCTGTATGTCTCCCGCTACAACAACACGGCAAGGACACGGCGACCATCCTACCATGTCAGAATAGACATCTACAGCTACACGTCAATGTGCAAAGAATCAAGACATCACAACAAGAGCATTTTAGGTTTGAGGCCATCGCTATTGGGGTGGAGGAGATCGCTAGTAGGTTGGAGGCCATTCCTATTAGGTATCAGGCTTTAGGATACAATTGAATACATTTTCGAAGCTGAACGGCTCATGGGTGACGTTTTGACGTTAAAAGGTGCTATCACCAGTAATGGGGGTTTTACTTGGCGATGGCGTCCACTGAGTGTCCCAGTTCATCCCTAAATTTTAGAAGGACGGTAGAGCCAATGATGCTACACCAGTGGCCTAAACTCTGTGAACCGTGCGCAGCTAGAGTCAGCTGGATTGCTGGCTTCGCATGTGATAAATGTTGATAAAGTTTAGAGGGAACTCTTCAGAACAGAAGACGATTCAGAAACTAGCTCCGATTCAGAAACTATGCTTCAGAAATTTGGGATTCAGATACTACAGGGTGTCCCGATTCAGAAACTGGCCGGTTCATCAACTAGCCGATTCAGAAACTACAGGGTGTCCCAATTCAGAACTAGCCGATTCAAAGACTGGCCGATTCAGAAACTGTATGGTGGGGTGGGGTGGTGGTGATGTTGACACTGCGGGCACAGGTGGGGTGGGTTGGGGTGGGGTGAAGTTGCCGTCCATGAACCGAACCCTTCACCCACCCAGCTGTGTTTCGGCCCGGGTGATCCTTCCCTTCGTGTGTGCAGGGAGAAGCCATAGAACGTTTGCGCTGGGAGATGAGACAGGCTATCGCAGGCGTGGCAGCTTTGGCACCTTGGACTGCAAGCACAGTGAGGGAAGACAGGATTTCAAGAAAACACCAACCATCATACACTCGGCGCATCTCGGCGCGGTTATGCATATCTTTATATATACACATACATGCACAAATGCTGTTCGGTGGAGCAGCGGCAAGAAAAACATGTGAAACTTGGGCTTTATTCGAACCGTCGGGTTAGCAGTGAGCCGGCTTGCCTAGTCATGAGTTTACAAGACCAGAGATGTTTGTGAGCAACAGCCGCAGGGCAGGTGACTCTTATGACTCTTGGGAACCGTCGGGCATTTGGCCCGAGAAGCTTTGTGTTGAGACAGCAGAGATGGAACAGCGGTGTGCCACCAGCATGTGCCCTGGATGCATCAATGCCAACATCAGCTACTGCCACACTGAGGTGAGGGAAACATGTACTGTATGTGTACTCGCACAGTGCCGTGAAGCTATTATTTGTGCCAAATGGCCCCGGTGTTTGCAATTCTCCGCTTCTCCATTCCAGTCATCTCTAGAACTGCATATGGAAACCGTTGGTCGCTCCACCGATCTCCAGTTCCGTGATGTCATAAGGCTCGTGTCCTGCATCGCCAGTCTGTTGATCTCGGTGGCTGGCCAAGGCGCTTAGTGGGAGCACGACATGTCTCCGAATTAGGCCATGCGAACAAATGCATGTCAGAGAGTAGGTAAGTTTGGGTCGAGGTGGGCCGGCTGTTTTAGACACTGACGCGGTCACTTGGAGTTTGAATGTTTTGAGCCCAGGCCAAAGCGTCTCACGCAACAACAGGAACACGGGTTTACACCTCAAGATTCCATTCGTGTTACCCCTTCTTCGGTCATCTGAGGGCTTTTGATGGGCTGGATCTGCAGGTTGTGTCATGTTGTTTTTCACGTTCTGAGCTGGACACCGCTCCGAACACTCAGTTACAACGACCACACCGCCGCTGGTGGCGCTCTACAGCCCCGATGTGCCGATGTCATGTAGCCCCCCTGCAGTGACTCTGATGCAGTGAAGGTGAGTGACAGACAGACAGAGGCCTTGTGCAAAGCAGAGATTTGTGGATGTATCAAAAAGATAGAATGTTCGGATAGCTTGTTTGGCCAGACCTTAGGCCGTGCTTGTTTGAAAAGCCTAATGCCCCTCGTCGCCCTACCGGGCTCAGGAATTGCCGGCTGCAGGGTGACTTTCCGAACAGAGGCTTTTGTATATCGAGCCAGCGGACGCAGCCCGACGTGACAGGCCAAGGAGAAGCATGTCCCCTGTCGGAAGCCAGAATCGAAGCTAGAATCAGAAGCAGCCTTGTATGAGGTTGTTGCAACATATGATGTTTGATTGGCAATTTTTACCACAAACATGTTGGGAATTTAGGTTTTTCCCAACCAGCACAGATAGGGACCTTTCAAACTACAAACGCTTGGCTTGAGCTTCCTGTGTCAAGTTAGGCAGATATCTAAGGCTGGGATGTATGCAATCCGCGACTTGTTAGCAGTGGAATGCACAATCCACGCGTTTATTGACCTGGCCTAATAGCAGGGTTATATATATATATATATATTATGTGCACATGTCCACAGAAACAGATGTGTAATGTTTTGTTGCGGCATGTGCTGCCGAAAAACTAGTTTTCTGCCTTGCGACCCAGGGCTCACAATACCTCACAGTACACCGTGAACGGGAACGGTATGTCTGATGTTGTGAACATTGTGGCGGAGGCCATGCTGAAAAGATTCATGCGGGTGGTGAAGATTTGCAAGAGCCGGATGTAGTACTGTGTGATTCTGAAGAATGGAGGACAGCTGTTGGTTGCTAGATCGTGCCAGGGCATGGTGGCACAAGTGCGCGCTGGGTTGAACAACAACGTCTCCTGCCCGAAACGGCTGGGATTGAGTGACAGTTCGCAAACATGCCCAGCAGGCCAGAGCGGGGATGGAGAGGGAAGGGGAGGTGTGCCAAGTTCATCCACAAGATTCTAGGCGTCAGCTGTTTGCTGTTTTCCTTTGCTGCTTTGAAAGCATGATCAGAGTGCTGAGCCAGATAGGAAGCCAAAGGACCTGTCTACAATTTTTCTGCGCTAACATGTATATGTATTATATATAAACATAAATATATATATATATACGAGGATTGAGGAGCGAGGCTACCATATTCCCAATGAAGACAGACGCATGACGCATGTTTGGGTTTTATGGAGTAAAGCCGCTGGTGCATGTTTGGCCTTGGCTGCTTGCACCCCACGTGATGGGGTGGAAGGCGACCCGTGCCCGAAGAAGCTGCGCCACCAGTTCAAAGTGCCCTACGGGCGTGGCCTTTGTGTTGTCAAAGGCGATGAGGTGAAGGGCTATGCTTGCTTCGTGCCCTGGCAAGGTGGGAAGCATGTAGATAATTTCTGGCTTGCCTTCTTGCACATCAAATCTTGGGAGGCTGTCCTCAAGAGGTTTAGCTGTCTCACCAAAACCACTGGCCAAAGCCTGCCAAGGACATGTGCGACTTCCGCATCCCCGCCAGCCGCTTCAGCGAAGGTGCACATCCAGGCAGATGCGAAATGGATTGCATTTTGCTCGAGCCCTTTCGGTGCTGGCGTTGCCGCGCGGCCGCGTGTAGGTGCCTGTGTTTGCGATGTGCCTTGAGGCATCGCGTTGAATGTCATGAACTTCCGAAGCAGTGGTGCGTGTCAGAGCAAGCCTTGGCTTCCTTGGGTCTGAGCCTTTGCGGATGACGACAGTCTAGCTCAACTGGACAATTCTGGTGCGACCACCTTGACACACAAAGGTAGCCACACACTTTATGGTTTGCGGGCTTTTATTGCACCCAGCTTTCTTTGAGACCCCTACTTGCCCCCACAAGCAAGCACTCAGTACTTAGACTTAGACTCGCTTCTGAGGTTATAGCATTTGTCGTCCTGGCGCTGATTGCAGGTTGCTGTGGCATTCTTTATGGCCATTCAGCTGCACGTGTGAGGGCCATGTTCTACTCTAGGGGCCAAGATTGCATCTCACATGCCGGATGTCTTCGGATTGTTCTATTTAACCCCTTGGGTTGATTCTTTTGGTGACTTGACACATCTCACAGTTGCGAACCGCAATACAAAAGCCGGGATGTACTAAGTCCAGCGGCGCAACCGTTCGACGCGGCGCACTGATGTGATGAGAGACCAGGCCTGGTTTCGCCGGTGTAGCCGTTTGAAGAGCTGTCTCCTGTCCATGACTGCCAGTCACAGGTGAGGAACAGTCTGACATTCATGATAGCTTTCCCCGACACACACACACACTGTGGAAGAAACACACGCACACATGCATGCATGCGTTGCAGCGTGGCAGGAGGGTAATTAGATGTGCAAGGCCACATCCAGATGTTGAACTTGCTTTACAGGAAGATGATTCTTATACGGGAGACCATGACGAGGAGGATGGTGAGCAGGCACGATGTACCTGTGTGTTGGGCGTGCCTGTTTCGCTCATGAAGGAAAGATAGCACTCCTATCAATTTGCCAAACCGGCCATCCTTACCCGCAATCACAGTCATGAATGCAGGAGATGCCCCCGTTCGAAGACCAGCCGGGCTACGGCCGGCAGGAGCTGCAAGGGTGGGGGAGGTGTTTAAGAGGATGGGTGGCAATATCTCTGGGGCGCTTGTGAACTGTCACTGTTAACAGCTAACATTTGCCTATGGACAGCCGCGTGTAGAAGTGTCACGTGCAAGTTCGCTAGTTGGAGGGAGGGAAATAGGGAAGCACCGTAGTTCTGTGGTGCAGAATCGGTGAAGAATAGATTGAATCGATGATGACTTCTTGGTTCTTGAGACCCTGGTTTTTCCCGACCCAAAGTTGATAGTGCTCAACATTTGTCGTTGATGTTCGACTATTTCTGCAAGTGCTTCATTCAATTTGGCCATGGCAGGACATGTATGGCGGCCAGCCCAGTTACCAGCAGGAGTGACCCAATCACCGGTCCGGAAAGTCCAGAAAAGATGCGAAGGCTACACCTACCCATGCCAGCGCATTGGCTGGGGAAAGTTATCAGAACTCCCCAGCAAAGGTTCCTTTTTGTTCTATCATTGGGTTGGTGGTACTTGGAGATTGCTTGGAGTTTGCTGATGTTTCACAGTAAACAGTCCAAACGACAACGGTCTTGGACTGGTTGTCACCCCAGTCAGAACCTGGTGTCTGCGCTTGACCAACATGCGGCGCAGCTGAATGGGACTCGGTTCCTCGAGGACTTGGACGCACAGTATGGGATGCCTGGACGAGCAAGCGGCTCTTCACAGGTGGGAAGTTTTGGGTCCGTCGAAGTTCTCGAATGGGGGACTCTTTGCCCAGGTCTTTATAAATTGTGTTCTTGAGATATGGCAGGCGAGGTTGAGGTGTCCCGAACGGTTTTTGCAGCGCTTCACGGGGTGCAGGTCGATTTCTGCTAGGTCATCGAGTGCCATCTAGCTGTGATGCATGTCACGCATTGGGCAGATCTGTCTCTCCCTGGCAGGTGCCGCCAATGTCAGGTCAATTCCCCCCAACGGCCTACATGCCAGATCAACTTGGAACCACAGGCGCGGTTGGCTGGTTTGTTGACAACTGGAACGGCGGCCAGCAGCTCACAACGTTCTAGGGATACTCATGGTCGGGATGTGTGCCTGGAAGGGTGAGTCCTCCACTCCACAAGGAGATGAATGGAAGAAATGAATGGCTATGATTCCTTTCCTGATTGCCTTTCAGGAGCCCCCTTGCAGTATGTACCACTCCGGCTTTGCAAAATGTAGGCCGAGGCCATTGGATGCCCCGAGCCCAAGAATGCCAATCTCTCCCGGAGGTTGCCGGGAATCATCCCTTAACCGGCACTGAACCTGGCACCTGGGTGGCTAGGCGCTTCTGTGAAGATTGCTGGCTTAGACGAGCCGCATTTACCGATGCCCAGTGTTGGCTTCCAGATTCCCAGCAACACGGTCTCCTGGCACGGTTTTAAGACGTTTTGCGACCGACACAGAGGTTTCAAAGAGTTTGGCAGGTGTCG